GTAGGAGCCACTAGAAGATGACTTCCTAACTGTGGCTATACTGCAGTGAAACCAATGAGCAGCAATGTTTGCATCTAAATGGCTCACATAAGGAGCCGCAGGTACAAGATTCCTAATGCAGATCACTTTACATTATTAAGGGGGTAGATAATTGGTGAAAGATTTCTAGATTATTGTTCTACTTATACTGTCTTAGCTGGCTTACACAGCTAGAATCACCAACATTCAGTAAAAGTAAAGAGAAACTTTAAGTATCCAGGAAAATTTCTACTCATTATAAAAAGCATTAATTAAAAGCAAATATGATGGAAAATATGTGGTCAACAGTTGGGGAGAAAGTTTAAAATATACCGGTAGTTTTGTTAGCTGCTTTCGAGAGAAAATCAGTTCCAGCTAAAATGAAGTATTTTACAGTAACTCATGAATCTGTGAAAATTAAAATTCCATTTCAACTTTGTAGCAACTACTAGTATCTTATATTGGTTAAGATATTACATTATACATGTAGTGACTGTAAAATTGAATTAGAGGACAATGTTCAGCAGGTGTTATTCACTCCATAACAACTTGAAATTAATCTACATTATTAAATCTACATTTAATAGTTGAAAAACAAATCAATATATTACGGTGGTAAAAACACCATAACATTATCATTGTGACCATTTGTGATGACACAGTACTATGCAGGTGTTAGTCACACTAATAGGGAAAGAGGTCATGCACAAGACATTAGTACATGTAAAGGCGCACAGCCATGGGCAATTTAGATACATGTATGTATTCAGCTGTGAATTCAACTTGAATTTCCGTTCTAAGAATGAGAATCTGACAGCTGCAGGGAGATCCCTTGAGAAGCATGGATAATGATGGGATCACAAGTTAATAATGGATGTTCACAGGATAGTTAGTATCCTAACTATCTTTATCTTGAATCATTTTACACATCATTTCTAGGTCATAACACTGATTTTCAATGTTGTCAGAAATCAATAAATAAATAACAGTGGGTAATCAGATTAAAGTCACAGATTTTGAGACTTAGCTGTGAAAACATAACTACAGTCATCGCTGAGTCATAATAATGAAGTTTGTCCTCAATAACATTTTTGCAAACATGCAAATTATCTCTTTGTGGATTGAAAATTTCCATTTCAATGTTTATAAGATTGATAAATATACTCACAATGAAATTACAGTTCTAATAATATATTTATCATCTTTGACTAATCAGTATAAATAAAATTAAATTAAAATACTTGTTTTCCATGGTTTACATATCACTTATGAATACATGTATGACAAAACAATGCAAATAGTGTGAAAATCCAAAACAGTAATAAAAATACTTTTAAATTATTTTAGCTGGAATCAATTTTTGTACGTTTTATATGAAGTTTATTTTCACTTCAGGAAAAATATTGAAAATAAATTCCAAGTATAAATAAAATAGTTTACAGCATAATATTTTGGGTTATAAAAGAAACCCACTCAACAAAATCTACCTATGTGATCAATATGATGTGGAAAAACTGTGCTACATGGCGGATATATGTGAAGTGAAATTACATGTTTTCTCACGAGTAAATTCCAGTTAAAATTCAGAGCACCCATCATAACATTGAGTACTAGAGTACTCTAGTGTTTCTGTTTCTTATGACTCACTTGTAATAGAGCTGCCAGTGGTCTGAAAGGCATAGCATAAAATGACAGCATTGATTTATCCACGTACACTGTAGCATAAACTCTTGTTGTCATGAATTCGTAATTTTAAAATAAAAACGCATGTACCAGTAGGGATTAATTTTGAAGTTTTTTTTAATGACAAGTAAATCCAATTTCCTGGAAAAATAAAAAAAATTATAGAAGTTTTATAAAGAATTCCAGTGTCTAGAGGGTATTTAAATCATAACATGGATATAGGAAATATTTAAAATTCATTAAAAATGTATAATGTCCGATTAAAGAAGAAGCCTTTTGGCTAATATAGCTTTCTTACTTGAAAAGCACTATGTGAAAGCAAGCTGATCCACAGAATTAAAATTGGTAATTAACTAGATACACTATATACACAAGTAATTGCATTACATAGCTCCCATGAGTTATTAGTAGCTGTATAACAAATTTCTTCTACTTTTACTGGTGTGATCTCAAATGAAACGAGCTTCAAAGCATGGTTAATATGGAAGCTTACATTAGTTATAAATAAAGACAAGAACTGCTTGACATTTATACTGCAGGTGATACAGCACATTTATTTAGCTGTGCTGAAAAAGGCAATGCTTTCTCTTGGGGGGATTTTATTCATAAGGTGCACTACTGTCATACTGTTGCATACTAAAACTTGGATAAGAGCAGAGCTTAAAAAAAATCATGCTTAACATGTTGCTATGGGTGTGGTCATACAAGTAACTAGCACCAAACATCACTAATGTTAACATTAATATTTTGATTTGTTATTACGTGTATAACTATATGTTAGCTTGTACCACCACTATCACATGTGCACACACACTCCAAGCAAAACAGTATGGCAAACTGTTGTGGACTAGAACAAATATTTTATGATAGGAGAGTTAATAAATGTTGCTATGGGTGTGGTTATATATATATATACTATCTGTACTTGCTTACATTTCTGTATATTAATAAGGATACATAGTAAGTTTTATAGTACCCCGGTAACAATCAATGTGCGCTAATTATGCCAAGTTTCTTAATATTCATTTCTCTAGCGCCTGTTTTGGGCTCGCTCAACAACAGAAAGACTGCAAAACTCCTCAAAACACAAAATTGTTTTCACTCAGATAGAAATTTAATTTTGTTATGAAATTACTACAAACTGATAAATTTATCAAGTCTATCAATAATACTTAAATCTTTCATAATTGAATTTTAAACTAAAAACATTTTTTCCTATAAAACTAATTATTATTGAGGTTATAAACAAATTGATCTATAATATAAAAAAGGTCTTTTTAGTGCATTAGAAGTGGTGATATATGCAAAGCAATAAATCACAAACTTTCATTAATAGTAGTGGTAATCTCAAATTCGTGATCACTCAAGTCTACAAAGCAGGTAAGAAAATAAATTGTCTGTGAAGCCTTATTGAAATCTGTTATGAGTAACACCACTTCTTGCCAATTGCATGACATAAAGGTTAAACTCCCACAAGACATTAAATAGATCCTTTAAATACCTTCAAATCCTCACTTTAATTACCTTTTTTAATTAGCAGGGCCAATTATTCATGTTCTTAACCTTTTGTGACAGGTTGTAAATGTTCATGTTGCCCCTCAACTTAAAATGTCAGCCATGTCATGCATGTACTGCTAGTGTACTGACAGTTGTCACAGTCACAACTCCCAAGACAAGGTGTACAATCTAAAATGCAGATTAGGGTAGATTACTGACAATTACTATCAACTAAGTCGTAATTTAATGAATATTATCTTCAGATAATGCATGAATAATTTTAATTCATCCTGCCCAGTCCACTCAGGGATGCCACTTGATTAACAAATTTATTACTTAAATTCTTATCATCCCTCCAATCTTTAACTTGCTAAATATCCCACAGTTATGTATGGTATTTTTGCATAGGCTAAGCACATAAAGATGAAATATTGCAGATTTATTCATTGTATCATATTTATTTAACAATTATTTGAGGCTCTGACATGCTATTTTGTCATTTTGGTCATATAATGTATAGTTGATTTCATATCATATAGCAGATATTTCCCATGATGGAAGCTTAGTAATCATCATTTGATTCCACAATGTTTGATTGGATAATTTCAATCAATCAGTGTTCATATACACTTTGAAAAGTATCTCAATTCAAACACTGTACTTTTAAAGTAACCTTCAAATACATGAATAAACATGGAAATGAATTTAAAAACACTTAAAAGAACTAGAAATAGGAAATGACTTCCTGCTGATCAATCAATTTGCAATCTGTCAAAAATGACATGAGTGAATACAAACATCATATACTTAGCCTGAACATACCACTAAGTATGAATAATTATTCAATGAGCCACAGTGTAAATAAATCTGACAGCAATATTTAAGCTTTCATGCACACACAAAGTAGGTAATCTCATCTGAAATAGACAAGCAATTCTGCACCTTACACTGTAACAAGAATACATAAGCAGGCTAGCATAATAAGAGATCACATATTGTATATACATTTAATATTACTAGCACGTGCCACAGTATCCTTCAATTATTTCCAGTTTTTATTTTATTATAGTAATGTATATTTATACCATTATAGCTAGTACGTGCAGTTGGAAAGGCACTTACATTGTATGTTATTGCAAGCAGATCTGTACTAAAGTGCTGATTACCACAAAAAAAGTGGTGATTACTACAAATAATTTACAGGTAATTTACGGAGTTATAACATATGTTCTTCACTCAGTATTACTGTAAACAAAAAAGCAACCAAACCAGAAGCATTGCAAAATACCTCATTGTTTTGTAAACAAAATAAATATTGATAGTTTAAATATAACAGTTTATTATGCATGGTCACCTGATATCACTATTGATACTTTGTTAGCAAACACCATATTTTCCAATTAGAAGAGCATCTTTAATACAAGTAAACAAAAACTAATAATTTCATTTATATTGAACGTTGGATCTATTTTGACTATAGATCTATTACTAAGAGTATATAAAAGAAATACTTAGAATAACAATGAACATTTTTTAGAACAAAATTATTGGTATTTCACTTTTAATTTGGTTCAACAGGACATTGTTTGCTATACAAATCATTAAAAAGTTTGTGAATGCCATAAAGAATTTTTGAAATGCAACACAAGTTCAAGATAGTGATCACTATAGTCTACTTTATTGGCAACATATAAGCTTTGAAAATTAAAAATATACACCTGTTACTATTAGTAAGAAGGTGTCCTCAAAAGTAAATCATTGGTTCAATATGAGAGTTGTCCCTTTTGAATGAATTTGGTAGTTTATTTGTGTTTTCCAAAGTTACAACCATTAGTTCTCGCGTTAAACCATCCTTTCGTCATCATCATTATCAACTTCCCACCCTAAAAAAATTCATAGAAAATAATTACAGAACTATTTAATCAGAATTTTGGCATTAACAAAACGTGGTGGTGGTGGAGGGATATATTTAATTTTGTAAGATGTGAATAGGCTCCTCATATTTGATGATAGTGATGTATACATACACCCAGTATAATATATGCATTGAGGTCGCCAGTTGTGGCATTTGGCCAAAAAAAGTAATTTTTTATCTTGTCAGATTAAAAGCTGATTTACATGTAGGTATAAGTCTTGCTTAATCTTTCATTTCCAGTCATTGTAAATACTATTTGATTTAATTCTTAATAATATTCTCCTTGGATCAGTATCTTCATGTGGTAGCAATGAATACATAGTCAGTAACTCATCTCTCTGGAGTCTTTCCAATTCTATTACATAAAATAACCTTCATTATTTCCAGACCCTTAAATTCATGTGTGCTATTAAACAGCATGGGTTAGAGTTTTATAGGTGATACAACACTGCGTTTTCTCTACGTTATTTTTGAACCCTGACACTCCAGAATCAAGAGGATGCAATTCGTACATTCCGCATAGAAATTACAAATGACATTAACTCCTTAGATGCCATGATTTGAACAAGCAGCCTCTTGGCTGAGATAGCTCCGCTTTTACCAATGCACATTTCAATTAAGAGAATTGAAGATATCATTAGAAAATGAACAAATTTGAGAGGTCTACCTGAGTTACCTATATGTATAAAATATCAAATCAATCAGACTTGAGGTTTTTATTAACAAGAAGTCAAAAATATCACTTTTTACCAAAATTGACAAAATTATTCATCAAAATGAGAGAATTGAAGATATCATTACAAAATGAACAAATCTGAGAGAGGTCTACCTGAGGTACCTATATGTATAATATCATACCAATCAGATTTGCGTTTTTTAACAAGAAGTCGAAAATATAATTTTTTTATAAAAAAAGAAAGCAAAAACATTCATCCAAAATTAGAGAATTGAAGACATCATCACAAAATGAAGAAATGTAGTTTCTATATGTATTGTATCAAAGCAATCATACTTCTGATTTTCAACAAGAAGTTTAAAATATCATATCAGAAGATATCATTAGAAAATGAACAATATGTATAGTATCAAGCAATGAGACTTGCTGTTTTCAACAAGAATTCAAAAATATCATTTTTTACAAAAAATTACAAAAATATTCACCAAAATTAGAGAATTAAAGATATCATTACAAAATGAACTAGTCTGAGAGAAGTACACATGTAGTACCTATAAATGTAATATAAATGCAATCGGACTTGCGGTTTTTAACAAGAAGTCGAAAATATCACTTTTATCAAAAATTACAAAAATATTCACCAAAATTAGAGAATTAAAGATATCATTACAAAATGAACAAATCTAAGAGAGGTCCACATGTAGTACCTATATATGTAATATAAAAGCAATTGGACTTGTGGTTGTTAACAAGAAGTCGAAAATATCACTTTTTACCAAAAACGACAAAAATATTCACCAAAATTAGAGAATTGAAGATATCAACATGAAACGAACAAATCTAAGAGAGGTCAACCTAAGGTACATATACACCAAGTATCAAAGCATTCAGGCTTGTAGTTTTCAAGAAGAAGTCGAAAAAGTAAAACATTGACACGGACGACGGAAGACAATCATCATATGATAAGACCCGCTCGACAAAGTCGACAGCGGAGCTAAAAATGAAAAAAAAAATGAAAAATTGGAGAATTGAAGATACCACCATTAAATGAACAAATTTAAGAGTGGTTTACCCAAGGTACATATACATCAAGTATAAAAGAAAACAGACTTGTAGTTAAAAAGAAGTTGAAAAAATAAAAAGTTGACAACAGCAGGGCTGAGAAACTCTTTTGGTGGTCAATCAACTAATACACTTTGACCACCAAAAAAACAAACTTAGAGGCAGGTTGTCCTTCAAATTTAATTTGAACACACAGATGATGTCAATTATGAACAAAAAATATTATTTTGAATAATGTAGTAATTGCTTGTCTCATGAGAAAAAGGCGGAAATGTCTGTTTAAAATAATTCATTCATCATTTTATGAAGTTCACAATTTTATATATTATCACTAATAAGGTGACACTATCATAGTTAAATTATTCATTTACATATTAGTAATTTAAATAATATATATATTGAGCTTTTTTCAAAACTCCCATAATCAACGTTTAAAATACCGTTTTGAATAAATCAAGTTATATTTCCTTTCCATATAAAATATGTATACAATTAATTGACCATTTGCTCTTGTTGCTGAAAATACCCTTGACCTCAAACATGATTCTTTTCATAGATATTTGATGAGCTTTCATAATTGAAGCCATTCATCATGATGTTATGATAAAGATTAATAGATTACTATAGATGATAATTAGTTTACATATTGATAATGTACACGTGTAACAAGATACAAAGAATTGTTGCTGTTTACAGTGGGAGATGCTGTTGGCAACATTTACTCATTTTTATTAAGCACAATGACAGTTAGTAAAATAATTGGTGCATGAATTACCAGTTATTATCATAAATACATGTCATGTGACATGAGAGTATTACATGGACAAAGCTTAGATATCTATCAACTTTTGACTAGTCACACCACTGATAAGATATACCTACCGTACATTACGTCAATGTTTTTGTTTGGTACTACATTAATATAAAATTAACATGACTTACAGTTTTGGTGCTATGCACATCACCATCATTCTTCATTTTTGCCCATACAACACCTGAAAAACGAGATGTGGCTGTTGTATCTGGGATTGGAGTCACCATCCTCTCAGACTCAAACTTTTGTTCCTTTGAATGCGACTTAAGTGCCGTCCACCAATTTCTGCGTGCTTCTTTACGAGCCTGTGTCATAAATGAATCATTGGTATTAGTCGTAGAATCACTTTTTACATCCTCTACCTTATCTTCAATATGTGATTGCTCAATTTCATCTGAAGGCACAATTTGGCTATGCTCACAGGACTCATCACTCGAATCTCTCAAGTCAGAATCAGAACTGTCAGAATCTTCTATCTTCCTTTCCATTTTTTTTGCCTTTTTCATCAGTGTAAAAAGTCCAGTTTCACTTTGATCTGTTGCCATGGAATCCTCAGTGGGTTCAGTGCTAGTATCACTATCTCCATCATCCTCAGTCATTGCAGTCTCCACAACAATTGCACCTAACTCCACAGGTTGGCTGTCAACATAATCCATCTCATCAGATTGCATAAGCTGATCCAGTTTACTATCACCTTCAAATAATACATGTTTTTCTTGTTCGCTATTATCAGGCACTTTTATCAGTTTTATATCTCCCTCAAGATGACTGCATTCCATTTTATGGGCTTTATCAGATATTTTATCCATTTCCATTTCAAGAATTTCACCTGTCTCTGCACCTGCCTCCTCCTCCTCCTCCTGCTGTTCCTCCTGTATACTCTGAGTGTCGCTCTTAACACTGATATCCAAGCTAGAGGAGTCAGCAATTGAAGCTGCTTCAGTTGGTACTGGCATCATTGCTGCTTGCAGGGGACATATCAAACCCTGTAAGGCACTGACAGTTGCCTCATCCTCGTCATCTTCACTATCTCTACTAGTAAAAAAATCCATTCTTCACAATGTAATTAAAAAGGCACTATGTCAATCAGCATGCAAAAATACTATTGACACAACAGACACAACTGTACATTTAAATTCAGCCATTTGCAGAATGAGCAGATAATGATGTGGACAGTACTTTGAACACATGACATCTAACCAAAGATGATACTCCTCCTACTCATATTTCATATGTAGAATTCTCCACCCTCATTAAATATGTTAATGAAAACACATCTCATTCAGCTATGCCAATGAACCTCTTTTCTAGATGTATTCATCTCCTATCAGAACAAGCACTGTAGAAAGAAGGAACATAATTAGTCGATAATTTTTAACACAGACCAACAAACTAGGTCAAGCAAGAATAATCAGCATATGCAAATAAAAAGCCTACTACAGGGAGCCATATGGAGGTCTCTCCTACTTCATTCTTAAAGCATTGATGTAATATAAAATATACCAGCTACACACAAAATAATAATTATATCTATATTATTCCTGAAAATCTTTTGATATTATTATAAGCTTTGGCAACAGAACAGAATTATCACAACACTGAGGAACGTAATCTATAGTACTATGCAGAATGTTTACAAAAGGGAAAGCTTACACAGGTATTAAATACAAGATTTCTGGAGAACAAAGAAGGGGAAAATCCATGAACAAATATGAAACGGAAGAGATATATATCAAAATACTGACAAGCTAATTTCCTGAGTGGGAAAATTATGGAAAATATAAATTAATTTTTATGAAGCTCTTCCCTTTAAAGTTTTTCGCTTAGATAAATACATAGTTTAGATAAAAATGATGAAGAATTCAATGATTTGAATTACTGTTGTTGATATCAATGGATAAAAACTTGAGTTCTGAGATCAAAAATTACACGTACATTGTGGTGGTTACACTGCTGATGTGAACAATAATCAACGTTAAACTGATCATGCTACTAATCAAATCAATTTGTAATCTGAAGGACGAACCTTAACAATAGTATTTTGCAAAGTCATACATGAATCTTCAGTAATACAGGCAGTTAAAAAGGGTTATTAACAGAACATATAGAAGGCATGTGATCAACTAGAGCTACCTCACACAAACCTCAATTACAAAAACATATTGATTGGCACAGACAAAATGTCAATAGCTTAGTGACAAATATTGGATAATAAGGCAGTAATAACATCGCACATTGTAAGTCTCCTTTTAGTTAAGTATAACTAAAGTCGTCATGGAAATACAAATTCATTTAGGGAAAATGATAATCAATTATTTTGCGCTCTATCAAATTTGATGGTCAATATCATCAATAGCTGAATATCCAAAGGACGGTCATGTTCATTTCATGACAAAATTTTTAAATGTTAGGTAGAGGGGGTGTAAGCTATGTTAGAGGACTAATCATTATATGTATTTTAATGAAAATAATTCAGAGACTAATATTAATTTTTAATAATGTTCCTTATTATAATTAATCATATAGTGATGGTTTTTTCTTCATAGCGATACACTGACAGGATAACATATTCATTGTGAGTAATTTCCCAAGTTGTTACAATTCAATCAACAGATTAGAAGTCAAAAACAATCCTTCAATCATATCATATCACAGTACCCTTAATTGTCACATTCTCAGACAAAAATTAGAGCAATCTAAGAATTTATTTAACCTTGTTATAAGGTGGTTCAAGCTGAATTTAAATTCTATGAACTTCAGAATATACTGCACATATATGCAATGCATTATGGGAGACAACTACCCTTTGTATATAACAGACAACTATTTGAAATGTTTTAATAACATTAGGGTTCAATATTAATATTATTATTAATAATAATAATAATAATAATAATAATAATAATAATAATAATAATAATAATAATAATAATAATAATAATAATAATAATAATACATGACTTTGTCTATCCCATGTCAAAATTAAAAACAAAACAATTTCTATGGTATGGGAGTACACAATGATAGTAACATGAATGTTCAACAGCAACTAATGCAATAACAGATACATGAAGGTTTACCTGCATCTAATGTGATGCAATGACAGATACATGAAGGTTTGCCTGCATCTAATGTGATGCAATGACAGATACATGAAGGTTTGCCTGCATCTAATGTGATGCAATGACAGATACATGAAGGTTTGCCTGCATCTAATGTGATGCAATGACAGACACATGAAGGTTTGCCTGCATCTAATGTGATGCAATGACAGACACATGAAGGTTTACCTGCATCTAATGTGATGCAATGACAGATACATGAAGGTTTGCCTGCATCTAATGTGATGCAATGACAGATACATGAAGGTTTGCCTGCATCTAATGTGATGCAATGACAGATACATGAAGGTTTGCCTGCATCTAATGTGATGCAATGACAGACACATGAAGGTTTGCCTGCATCTAATGTGATGCAATGACAGACACATGAAGGTTTACCTGCATCTAATGTGATGCAATGACAGATACATGAAGGTTTGCCTGCATCTAATGTGATGCAATGACAGACACATGAAGGTTTGCCTGCATCTAATGTGATGCAATGACAGACACATGAAGGTTTACCTGCATCTAATGTGATGCAATGACATATACATGAAGGTTTGCCTGCATGTAGGGTGATGCAATGACAGATACATGAAGGTTTACCTGCATCTAATGTGATGCAATGACATATACATGAAGGTTTACCTGCATCTAATGTGATGCAATGACGGATACATGAAGGTTTGCCTGCATGTGATGTGATGCAATGACATATACATGAAGGTTTGCCTGCATGTAATGTGATGCAATGACATATACATGAAGGTTTACCTGCATGTGATGCGATGCAATGACATATACATGAAGGTTTGCCTGCATCTAATGTGATGCAATGACATATACATGAAGGTTTGCCTGCGTCTAATGTGATGCAATGACATATACATGAAGGTTCGCCTGCATCTAATGTGATGCAATGACATATACATGAAGGTTTGCCTGCATCTAATGTGATGCAATGACATATACATGAAGGTTTACCTGCATCTAATGTGATGCAATGACAGACACACTGAGGTTCACCAACATGTGTTGCAATGATCGACACAGATCACTAGCATGTGATGCAATGGCAGATGCATGGTGGGTCGCCAGTAAATGATGCAATGACAAATGTAATATGTGCAAATTTAAATTTCAATTATGATATATTAATAATTTTAAACTTCATCTATTCATATAAATATTATAAACCAACAAATCTAATATAGCAGATTTTTACACACAATATTGAACAAGATGCAGTCTGTGGATTTAGGATAAGAACACCCAAGGCCACCAAAATATACATCAAGAATATCATCTCTTGCATTTTGGTTTGATTGATGTGCTTAGCTGAGGGAAGAGAGATGATTCAGTTTGTAGATATATACATTAGTTATTACAGGAAGCATCTCCCTAGAGAAGATATACTTATTCAAAATGTCAACACAGGATTCTTAAGTCGATAAGTGCATGATAAACGCTTGATTCATTTGCTGACAAAGACCCAGGCTGTACCATGACTCGAACTCTCATCTCTCTGATGCATGGTCACATCTCTGTGTTGTCATAGCACCAAATTATGCATATATTTTTAAATCATTTATGTCCTAAATTTTGGTAGAATGCCAAGCTGTAATACGTATATGTTTTATTGTAATTTGATGGGCTGTGTGTGTTATCTGATGAAACTATCAAATATAAATAACTCATTGTTGGAAATGCTGAAAATTGTTTTTAATATTGAATCTAAACTTGGTTGAGAAGGTCAACATGTACAATTGGGAAAGATTCAAACAGTTTACATGACTGTGTTTTATTATTATTATCATTAGGATGCCAATCTACCTGCCACTACTACAAAACGATTCTCACTGACTCAAAAAATGGGCAAAAAATTGTCTTAACAAAATCAAAATGAATTTATTGTTTTTATTGAAAGGACAACCCTAGGATATCACACAATATTAAGAAATACTAGTATGAACCACGATGAAGATGCACAAAAAAAGAAATTAACAGGACATCCCCCCTCTCCTGTTGAATTCCAAGAGAACCATGTGTGTCTGGCTGTCAGCATGAGATCAAACAGTTTTTATATCAAATGTTGTCATGTCTGAATGAAATGTTGGACATAGTGTTGACAATATACAAGTATCCGTTGTCATCTTCTTAAGGGGTCTTGAAGTCATGCTTATAGTTACCTTGTATATTAATTCACTGCTATGGTAAAAGAAGCAAGCACTTAAAGCTAAAAATATACACTATAAAAGTGTTCACACATGTATTGCAAGTACTCATACAAAGATCCAATCGATATGATTCTGTGTTCAACCAAATCTGGTTGACGCAGAGGTAGCATAAATTGCTTCGTCAAAAGAAAGCAGATGCTTTTTTATGACAAAGCTTTGGAATATGGTTTCTCTGAAAAAATGTACTGTATGTACTTAAAGTCCTTGCAATAACCTGGTATTATATCGAATTGCGATGTTGAGGAACCAAACTCAGTATATATCAATAAATAATGAAACAGACTTTAATAAATTATTTATATCCAGCCCATATATGTGTGTGAATGAATGGATGATAAATATAACATGCAGTCTAACTGTCTGGCAATATCCAGGAGTCTTCACAGGTGCAACTTTTTAAATCAACAACGGTTCATATATATGACAAAATGAATTATCTGTAGTGAATAACTCCCATATGGATATGACAATTGCACAACTTGGATTGTATATGTGTACAAAAATGAAATATCTGTAGTGAATAACTCCCATATGGATATGACAATTGCACAACTTAGTTTGTATATGTGTACAAAAATGAAATATCTGTAGTGGACAACTCCCATATGGACATGACAATTGCACAACTTGGTTTGTATATGTGTACAAAAATGAACTACATGCAGTAGACGAGTGTATTTTGATCACTGTTACTGTGTAAGACATATTAGT